ATGTCGCTTTCCAGTGACACCATATAATCCAACGCTGCCATTTGGTTTGAATGGTTCCAAAAGGGCTCGAGGTCAGAGGATTGCAGCAACGTCTCTTTTTTAACCTGTTGGCAGACGATAATAAGCTTCGAACATGGGTATAATACTTGTAATTGAGTTGTTTCTTGAGGTCCAAGCAACTAACCATATGGGGAAAGGCTAGTCTCAGAGACGCCATTCTCCTTTCTCCGCCATATATATCGCCAGCAGCGATATAAACCTGGATGCCAGGATCAATATCCAAAGCCCTCAGTGCAAGTGCAGTTTCCTCAGGTGTTAAAGGGCACGTCCCAGCTCTTCTTTTCTTATCAGAATCTATTATTTTCTCCTTCCACCATGGGTAAGCAAATCTATTTAATATATTAACATTTGCAAGTTAATTTCATAGCACCATTGGATTAATGAAAAGAAACAACTTAAGGGAAGTGAAATTAAGATTGAGAAAATCTTCAGAGTAGTCTGACCACGTCATTCATTGTGAAGATCTTATAAACGAGCCGGTCCCTCTTCATTTGAGTTTCACCAAACCCCACATTGTCCCTATACTTGTGAGAGATGTCCTAAGAATAACGTGATCAGACTGCCCTACCAAAGATTTTCTTCTCACTCTAACCTCATATTTGTCAGTTCTTCAATTTCTTTGGCATTGCAACCTTCCGTACAACCAGAAAATGCCAACATGTCCATTTCATATCTCAGATGAAGAACTAGGAATGGACCCTTTTCCCTCAGAATCCTGACAATCTTCTTTCCCAGTTCCTCAATAGGAGGAGTGAATCTCAGAGCTCTATAATTCGCTTTGCACCGCAGTTTCTGAACTTCTTTCGGGATCCCATTATTCGCAAGCCTGGCATCAGTCTTAGTGAAATGCAGCACTTCATACTTCTTTACGCGAGGAAGAATCTGCTTACGAATCAAGTATTGACAAAAGATTAGTGGTAATTAACATTAATTTTAGTAACACAATGACGATGATTAATGAATTAATCTTTTAACTACCAGTTCGTAGTAATATGTCATGTTAGACCAGCTAACAGGAGGCATGGAATAGAGGGTAGCTTTCTTTACTCTTCTTTTCTGCTTATCAGGCAGAGCTTTTAGTATCCTGACCTCATCTCTCAGAGAGGCAATGAAGTAATCCACATCAAATATGTCTTCAAATCCACTGCAAAATTAAGTATTCAACTCTGTCAGATTTAATTTATTGTTAACGAAGGTACTTGGGTAGGGTTGCCTGACTAGGGACTAGGGAGAAAAGGTTTTGTCTGACCGACCATACACGGCTTTAGAGAGAATTAGGTGGGATAATGGGTAGGGACGGGAGAAAAGAAAATACAGACGACCTTTTTTAACTGTGTATGGTCGCACAGCCACGTGGTTTGACAAGCGGACTCTAGAATTTGTTCTTACTAACGCATCTCTTATGCCGAGTAGGACCAGAGTTGAGTTGGAAGAACCAAAGTACATGAATCTTAAGCTTTTGCAATAGCGGTTTGGGGAGCCATATGGCCATACTGCCTTACTCCAGTTTAAGTGAAAGACATAGGGAGAGAGTTGTAATTTGACTAACCTGCGGTCATTCCAAAAGGAGGTATTGTCCAACTCAGGAACTATAAGCGTGACATTCATAAAACTTGCAATAGCCACCATGTCACAAATCTGCAGTGTAAGATTTTTAAGAGCATTACTTGAGTTTTCAAGAATATTAATGCAAAATAGGAAAAATATTAGAAAAAGTACTTACCCCAGTTCGCATTTGATTCAATCCTCCATTGGATGAGACCATCAGATATCCATTATTCTCATAATCTCCTACAAAAATGAACACGAGTCTTCAAACCAAAATCTTGACAATTGTAAGAAACCGTGTTAGACACCAGTTGCCTTAAAAGCTTTAGTTATAAAAACAAAACGAGCTAACAATGTATATCAAACTAACGGCTGGCATAAATAACAAATATTATTAACCTTATGAGAAAGTTGTGGACACTTACTTTCAATTCCAGTAATTTGTGGCGGGGTGATGGTTTGAGAATTCGAGCGAAACATGAAAACCCGGGGCTTCATCACATCGCTGAGCGTGCTCAGCTGCACCGCGCAGACGCAGAGAAGCAGCATGGTTGTGGTTACAAAAGCAAACAACTTGAGTCTGCATAACTGTGACTGCGCAATGATCAAGCTCCTCAACCTCTCGCCCTTGAAGTTGAATCCTCCTATGAATTTGTCCACCTTGATTTCTCCAAAGTACTTCAAATAGTGTTCCATCTTATGTTGCTTCACCTTGGCCTCCCCAAATTCAGACTCTTCGAAAGCACGTTTAGTTTTTTCCATCTCCACAATACTACTTCAACTATATATATGAAGTAGCTCTTGCAGTGACAGCAAATATAAAAAATAGGAATTTTGAGGCGGTTTTTTCTGACCGGCTTTTTGGATAACAAAGCTGGCCTGAGAAGCCACGAGCTAACAATGGAGATACAGTGTTGCTTTTAAAGGGAGCTCATGCACTCTCATAATTCATAAATATTGAGAGTTATATTATTCATTACCGTTAGGCATGAAAGGAGAGAGAAATAGTCATACATCAACCATTTAATTGCAGCCAAATTAATGTAAGCCAGTTGCAATCATTCTACAATTTCATACTAATAATTGTTAGACAAAGCGCATTTTCACAAAACCAATATGCTTCGAGTCAGAATATTGATGGGAAAAACTCTTTAAATCTAACTATTTTTTATCAAACAATTTGTATGAGTTGAGACCCATAGTGTTGTAGAATTTATCTTACCTATAAGAGATGTTTTTTGGTGTGACACACTGACGTTACGTGGTGTTATCAATTTATTCAAATTATAACATGTATATTTGTTTTACTACTTCATCTTAAGTCCATGAAATAACAAACATGTTAGTTAAGCACTTATATTATAACTCAAAAGTAATAGCACTACGTGACGGTGTGACCGTTACACACACTAGAGTTGTAAAATATCCGAAAAAATAAAAAGCTGCCTTGCCCATTTCTGATGTTTTGGACAAACATACTTTGATTAAATTTAACGCACCTTTTGTAGTTTAAACCATTCAAAGTAAGTAAGAATATCAAAATAAAAGCAAAAAGATATAGATCCGATTAAAAATTTCAAGGCGTTTGTGAGTAAACAAACAATCGTACACGATCCTAGTTAATATATGATTGTGCTTTTCAGAAAATAAATTAAATAATTGTGAACTAGATAGATGATAGGTTTTAATCTTTAATTATAATCCGAATCTTGGCAATTTTTTGTACCATTTACGTCAAATTAATGATTAATATAAAGCAAACCTAATTAAAAGTTGACAAGCCAATTACGTATGAAATTCATAGCAAATACCAGGCTTATTAAAGACACCGATAGATGTATTGGGGCCAAATGTTTATTAATTATTAACGATAATAACACTAATTCTGTTATTTAAGATTGAAAAAGAAATATGGTCGGTTTAGTTTGCTTGACGAAACTGAGTTGCATGGCTATAGAGAGTTGTGCCTCATACACATGTCATATGTGGTATATAATTTGACAGTCAGTTTTCTTGCAGTAACAAAGATAAAAATTGTATTTTGAGTATAAAAAATTAAAAGAAAATAATGCATGAGTTGCACATGATTGATGTATTTAGCTTAGTTTAATTTTTCTTTTTTTTGAACAAAGTTAGCTAATTTAATTTTAGTTTCATATTATTCACATTGTATCGATGTCACATCCTGGTCCGGGGCGGATCACTTTCCGGGCCCGCTCCACCACTGTAGCACGATATTGTCCGCTTTGGGTTTACCATTCCGTCACGGTTTTGTTTTTGGGAACTCACGAGCAACTTCACAGTAGGTCACCCATCATGGGATTGCTCTAGCCCCCTTCTCTCTTAACTTCGGAGTTCCTACGGAACCCGAAGCCAGTGAGCTCCCAAATGGCCTCGTGCTAGGTAAAGATGGGAATATACATATAAGGATCACTTCCCTGGGCGATGTGGGATGTCACAATCCACCCCCCTTAGGTGCCCGACGTCCTCGTCGGCACACACGCGACTAGGGTTAGACTTTGATACCAAATGTCACATCCCGAGCCCGCTCCACCACCATAGCACGATATTGTCCGCTTTGGGCTTACCATTCCCTCACAGTTTTGTTTTTGGGAACTCACGAACAACTTCCCAGTGGGTCACCCATCATGGGATTGCTCTAGCCCCCTTCTCGTTTAACTTCAGAGTTCCTAAGGAACCCGAAACCAATGAGCTCCCAAAAGGTCTCGTGCTAGGTAGAGATGGGAATATACATATAAGGGTCACTTCTCTGGGCGATGTGGGATGTCACAATCGAGTCATTAGTTAACTAGTTCTAAATCTAGTGACATCTCTTTTCTTAAAATTGATAATTTTTTCTAGTTTATTACATTATTCATGGCGCATTAAACAATTTTGTAGGTATGACATTTGTTGTTGTTGTTGTTGCTGTTGAAAACATTAATTTACTACTAAAAAGAACGTGTTATGCCTTATCCAGGGGAAAATTATGTAAACCCAAATTTAACAAATATATATCTTGCCACTTAGTATTACAGTATGTTGATATTTATCTTCACTTGTAAGTAAGAGGTCTTAGGTTTGATTCTCGTCAAAAGTGAATTTGAACCACATTATTGTTAGCCTATTGTGAGGCGAAGCCCACCTCATTCCTTTTAATGTAGACAATATCGTTTGTTCAAAAAAAAAAAAACAAATATATATCTCAAAAAAAAAGAAAAAGGGAAACCTCTCTCAATGCTCACAAATTTTTATCTGCAAAAACTTTACAGGTATCTCTCAATTACATGAGAGAAATTAATGGCGTGACGAGAGACATAGAAAAAAGTTTTATGCAATTTTAGAGATTTTATTAGGAATGACCAATTAATTTACCAAGAAAATACTGCAAGAATATTCAAATGAACATGCTTTGCTTTGCATGAATATTATCTTACACTTTGATTCCCTTCTTTCCCAATTTTGCAGGAAACAGTGATAACTTCAATTTAATACATGAATTGATAAGACTGATATCAACAGAAAAAATCCCCTAATAAAAGGTCATTATTAATTAAAAAAAATATTTGTTCATACATTTAATCACAACATAATATAATTAGTAATAATTAATCTTCGTTGTTGCTATCTTCATCATCAATAGGTGCCAAACATTCCTGTGGGTTTGTATAGAAGTAATCTTCTAGCTTTGGTTTTCCCGGCACCTCCAGTCTTGTAGTAGGGTTTCCCATGCGGTCTGCATGAGCAGCCTTCACTCCAAATGAGAATTCATTCCAGCTCACACTTCCATTGTTGTACAGATCTACCAGATCAACCAGAACTTTTCTGTCCAGAAGAATGGTCTTCTTGAATCCCAAATACCTTCTATGCCCTTCCACTACTTTGGCCATGTTGCCTCCATATGTTGGGACAAAAATGTCACTCTTTATTGACACGTAATAATCCAGTGCTGCCATCTGGTTTGAATGGCTTTGGAAGGGCAGTAGATCCGATGCTTCCGCCAATGTCTCCTTTCTCACCTGTGTAATCATATAAGTTATAATTATCAGTTAATTAATCTACAGAATTACTATGATTAGTTGAAGTGAATTATCAATAATCAAGTTAATTACCAAGTTTGGAAAAGCTTCTTTGAGAGGTGCCATTCTCCTCTCTGCCTTGTAAATATCTCCAGCAGCAATATACACTTGGATATTTGGATCAATGTCCAGTGCCCTCAATGCTAGGGCAGTTTCTTCTGGGGTTAGAGGGCATAAACCGGCTTTCCTTTTCTTATCAGAATCTATTTCCTTCTCTTTCCACCACGGGTATTCATATCTGAATTGCAAAGTTATGTTGTCAAACTGTCGTATCCTTATTAAAATTATGTTGTCGTACTATTAACTCTAAGTAATCATACATTTTAAAAAAGAGTTCACATAGTCAATTTTCCCAATTCAATCTAACAACTTAACATATATGTCAAATATTCTGTGGCAATTAGAACTTGATTTACATGTGTACATGCACGTTATTATGTTAATTACCTCATTTTGGTGGTTTCTTCAATCTCTTCTTCGTTGCAACCTTCAGTACAACCAGAGAAGGCCACCATGTCCATTTCGTATCTCAGATGAAGGACCAAGAAAGGGCCTCTTTCCATGAGAATTCGGACGATTTTCCCGCCCAATTCCTCAATCGGAGGAGCAAATCTCAGAGCTTGGTAGTTTGCACGGCACCGAAGCTTCTGAACCTCTTCAGGAATCCCATTGTTAGCAAGCCTAGCATCAGTTTTGGTGAAGTGCACAACTTCGTATGTTTTAAACCGAGGAATGATCTGTGCAATTAGTAACACAATCAGTGGTTGTGGTTAATGAATAATGGTAACATTTCAACAGATAAAAATAGACTAACCGTGTTATAGTAGTAAGTCATGTTAGACCAGCTGATGGGAGGCATGGAATAAAGGGATTCTAATTCCACTTTTTTCTTCTGCTCAGGAGGCAATTCTTTCAAAATTCGAACTTCGTCTCTCAACGATGCAATGAAATAATCTACGTCGAATATGTCTTTGAATTGGCTGCCATATATAACCAAACATATTATTGATTTAACCATATATAACCAAACATATTATTGATTTAATTTAACTGGTTAGATTAAAATAATTAACAGCATAATTAAGATTAGTCTCACCTCTGGTCATTCCAGAAGGAAGTATTATCCATTTCAGGAACTATAAGCGTGACATTCATATATCTCGCAATAGCCACCATGTCACTTATCTATAAGAGTATAGTAAAACCAACCATAGCAACACTCAAAACTTATGGACAATTAGTGACAGGAAATTATAATTAGAAAGAATAAATAAATTACTTACACCAGATCGCATTTGATTTAGTCCTCCATTGGATGAAACCATCAGATATCCATTATTCTCATAAACCCCTAGAGGTAATCACAAACAAAAATTAAAGATCCTATTTAATTTCACAGAAGAACAAAAAAACAAAGAGAAATTCAAATAGTGGCATGCATGCATGCATGCATGACATTGGTAACATATATACGTACTTTCAGGTGGAAGAGAGCTCTGAGATATCCTTGGCAACAAGGTCTCGCCCAGAGCCTTGAGCTGCACGGTAATAGCCCACAGTAGCAGCACCGTCGTGACCCTCGCTGCCCAAAGCTTCAACCGCTCCAGTCTGGCTCGACCAATGACAAAACCCTCTAACTTCTTGGCTTTGATGCTCCCATTGATAAAACTCTTGAGCTTATCAGTTTTGATCCCTCCAGGAACCAGGCGTTCCAGAACCTTCAATAGTTCAGCTTTCATGGCTCCTGTGTACCTCAAGTACAGGACTTTACTCTTGTAGGGCTTTTCCTTCATCTCCTCGAGTTCTGGCTCCATGGGATAATCCTTTCTATCCATTATTTCGGAAATACTTCTTGTTCAATCGATATATAAGTATATGCTAATTAAGTTGAGATTATATTACGTGGCATTAATTTCCAAGCATATATATTCACAGGGAATTATATATGCTTGATAATGGGTTTAGGAGTGATTGGTGAGCTGCGAGAGATATGAGTGTTACAAGTACCCTTTTAAAGGACGAAATTTAGAGGCGTATGAAATTATGAACAACTCGTTGCATTATTTAGGAATTGAAATTAATAATTTCAACTTGTTTTCATTTTTAAGGAATTAAATGTGACAATTTCAGTCAATTTTTTTTCTTTCCAAGTTTATGTTATTTTGGTTGAGGGTTAATTAAATTAATAACTCCATGACGTCGAAACGGGACACGCATAGAACACCACCTGATAATATGGAAAGCTGAATATTCAAGTGGATAATTAGGGAGCATTTGGTGAACAAAAAAACAGGGGGAAATGCACCCATCAATACTAATGTGCCAAAATTCATGATTGACAACAAAGATTAATGGGGATTAATAAAATCGATTTAGTGCATTTAACAAAAGTTGTGGGATATTTTTTTTATAGGGAGGAGAAATCGAACTTGGATACATGGCGACACATTGTCCTAGTTAATTCTTCTTTTTTTTTTTTTTTTTTTTTTTTTTTTTTAAGGTGATCAGCTGGTAGGTTTGTCATAATAATTCATCATTTCGAATCATGGGAAGACTCACAAACAAATGCTTTACAGCTTCACTCTAGCCATCTTCATGTGATTTTCATGTGATTCACCAGCGCTAAAAATCAAACCTACAACGTGCTGTATGAAATAGGAGTTTGAAGTTCGTCCTCAACCGCTAGGCCACCCCATCGTGGTTTGTCCTAGCTAATTTGACTATCCTCATATATGGATCTGTGATTTCATCTTTAACCTCGGGCATGTGAATTTAAATATTTTGAGCAAATTAAAGGCACCTTATTTCAGCATTGAATATTTGGATTATCGCCATTCCAGCTTACTTTACTTTACATGGATTTGATACAAAACAAGTAAAACGTGTAATATGACGTTTAAGAGAGACATAACACAAATCGTAATTGGTCCCTATTGTCAAAAAATTTCAACCTGAAGAAAATTACTATCTTTCCAGTCGAGGAATGAACCACGAACAAATTTTGCAACACTGAATTTTCAAAAAATTAATATAAAAATTGGAAGGTGTATAACCATTCGTCAAGAGCTTCAGTATATATTCACCGTTCTGGTTACTGTAAGCCAAATCATCTTTCATGTAACAGTTCTCGACTCCTTGGATTTGGAAACCAGGTTCCACGTTAATCTCCGTCAAAGACATGGTCTGCTCCGGTCACCAAGAAAATGGTGAATACCTCAACTGAGATAAGCTTAACAATCTATCTTTAACGAAAACTTTCGATCAGTCCCTTTACTGCAAAGAGGCGAAAATGAAGGAGAGATCCGAGGAGGATTGCACGAAAATTCCTTGGAGTTACAGTACTAGAACAGAAATGCTCTCATTGTCTGCAGGTGTTAGCGAGCCTTGAACTAACTCAAACCCTCAGCAAAATACTGCCTGCCTAGTAAATTCCTTCCCCTCAAGAGCTCAATCCCATAGAGCGAGCGCGCGATAGAATTGCAGGAAGAAAACGTTCACTCTTCACCAGGGAATCCAGCCAGTTCCTTCGACTTCCTCTGAGACCACTGCCCATTGCACTGCAAATCTTATTTTTCAATCTTCAGCAACCCCATAGCTTTGAATAGAAATGCATAATCATAAGCAGCTTCCTCACATTGAGCATACCGTCCACCTTCGCCAAAATGTCCTCCAGCCATATTTGTCTTCAGAATGACTGAACGTGAACAACGAGGACATGTACTCTCTCGAACTTTGGCCACCCACTTGGCGGCTTCCCAAAACCCAACCCTGAGAAATGGATGTTAAATGCAACCAGAGTAAGTATATGGAATGTGTGTGTGCCTGGATTTGTTACTGCATGTAACTAGGATAACAAAAGGCACAAGATGAATATACCTTGAGTCGTGAAGGGACGCTGTAACAAGCATTGAAGGGTAGCAACTGCCTTGAGAAATGTTATCGTACGGTGAATAACTGAAGATAAGCTCAAATTTGGACTGTATCTGAGGATTGCCGAATTCTTCATAATCCAGAATGGTGAGAGGCAAACTAGGATCCATTAAAGTGTTGCATATATCAAGGAACGGAACCTGACAAATATATCATCCAAACATCAGTACCAACAATGTAATACAAAGGTAAACAGAATGCACTTCTTTTCTACTATAAAAGAAAAAGATAACGGGAACTACTGAAGTGCTGATGGACAGGAGTCCAAGTTCATCAAACCAGAATAACAAAAAGAAGAGACTAGTTGTTGGCTTTAAAATCTAACCTTCAAAATAGAAGCTCGAAAGAGATCGGGGTACATATTGATAGTTGCTCCAACAAGAAGGCCTCCAGCACTATGTCCAATAGCACCAAGCCGATCTTTATGTACGTATCCCTCTTCAATCAGGTAGTTTCCACATGATACAAAATCATATATTGAATTCAATTTATTAAACCCAGTGCCAGATTTATGCCACGAAGAATCTGCACCACCACCACCCCTGCCCATACAACCACATCGAGTTATTTAACAGGATAACAAAAAGGATTCACAAGAAAAACAGCACGTTTGTTCCAGCTAAGAAAGTAGAATCACTTTCAAAAACATATATTATTTTGAAATGACTAAAATTAGAAAGGACCAACCTCACATCAGCAAATGCCACAACCCATCCCCGATCAAGTAAACACAGGTGCTCTGCACACCAGCTTTTATCTAAAACCTCCCCATATGCTCCATAGCCTTTCAGAAGGCCAGGCGACTGACTCTTCTCCCAGGCTGTATGAGAGTACAATATGGTCAACGGAACTCTAACACCATCATGGGAGATAACCTCCTTCCTCACACAGCAGTATTCATCAGAATACTCCTTCCATCTCTGTGATTCACTTATCTGGACATCCTCCTGATATTGTGAGCCAAATTTTTTATTCAAATCGAGCTGATTAGTTGGTGGGAATGTTCTATCATAAAAATCCCTCACTTCCTCTTGCTGCACAATTGAGAATCTCCTGCTCGACATGTCGTAGTCAACAACTACATCAGGCATCTGCAAGTTAAAAAATGGACAAAGAATCAAACGAACAAGAAAGTCAAACTAAAGTGTATAAGTTATTAAACTCTAAAATCAAGCTTAAAAAGTATACCACTGGAGATGAAAGCACTGCGCGGTACACTGAGTTATGGAAATCATGGTTAGAACCTGGAACAACATTACATAAGTTTGAGGGCAGAGCGAAAAACCATGGATCAAGATCATCAATCTCCAATTGGTGCTGGAATCAAGTCAATAAAAGTAGCAGATTAACGACAAATACTTTGTATGTGGAAGAGATAAAGGTTAACTCTATCAATGTAACATTTTATTTTTATGTTTATAACCAAAAATGTAACTAAGCAGATAGATAAATACCTTACAATCAACAAGGACAGGCAAATTACAGGAACACAACATAGAAAAACCCTTCTTGCTGAGAGAAAGGACCAGATGTCCATCAAACATGTCCATATCTTGTATGCTTAAATCTTCACTTGGAAGGATTATATTCTACAAAAAGAAAAAAGTATGTCAAAATGAGAAAAAGGACTCGAAAACATAAATGAGGTTCAGTAGTGAAGAACTCGAAGTACAGATAACATCAGGAAATAGAGAAAACCAAGTGTCTGTACTAAGATTCATGAGTAAGAAGAAACTTGACCTGCCAATTAGATGTTGGTAGATCTTCACCCCCGCAGCTAGCTAGGTAATAACCTTCACCAGACCACACCTTATTTTCACTCAAAGGAGCATTTGTAAGAACATAAAATAATCCATGGTGATGTTCAAGAAAATACTGTACACCAGAAACACGCTTCCAAACTCTCTGCAAACCATCTAATGGGTTGGCAGCATCTATCAAATAAACCTGTAAGTTCAGCCAGAGAAGTTAGCTCACCCAAGGAAAATACTTTCAAAGTAAATATCTGCAAAACAATGAAACAGTAAAGTTCCTTCCTCAGATGAAGTTCTTGAGTTTGAATTGACAGTTATAAACTTGCCATCCTTTGTGCTTGTTATGTCCACACAGAAGCTGGAATTGCTTTCTGTAAATACAGTGATATTTTCAATATCATCAGATCCTAGTTTTGAGCAGCATACTCTGCCAAAACACAAATAGGTAAGATGATATTATCGTCTCAAGAGAAAAAGCCATAAGTAACAGAAATAAAGTATGCCTGTAAGGTCGTTGGTTCTCGTCTGATAGCGTATAGAACAGAGTACTCCCATCTTGAGCCCATGCCAAGCTAACAACACCATCCACTCGTACTTTGGGGATAACACATCCACTTCTTAGGTCCTTAATTTGAAGCCTGAACTGTTCATCACCCTTAGTGTCTACTGTGTACGCTAGAAAATGGTGGTCTGGTGAAATTCGACATGTGCCAACATGCACATAACCTACAATTAAAGTACATAATTCACTAATAACTAATACGAAAAGAAGATACCAGGATTAACAACAAAGAAAATGAGGCTATCAACCAACTAGAGCGTAGAATTCAGCAACTATCAACAATGAAAGCATGCAAGTAAAGACAGAAGCTTTCCATATCGCCTTGCAATTTCATTCCAGTCGAGCAAAATCTCCTCCATTCCAAATCCTCCTCTTGCGTATCGGAGAAAGTTCTTAATCCAATCACCTTTTTCACTTCCTAATCGTCTACAAAGAACCGGGTATTCCTTCCCCTCTGGAATGTATTGGTAATACAACCTGCTCAATTTTAACAAACGACATTGGTAAGTTATTTTTAATGTGTATTCCTTTCAAAAGTTGTAGCCTTTACTTATCATTACACGATGCGGAATCACAAACTTCACGGAAAAGCTAAAAAACGAAATAGCTATCAAACGAGCCCTAATAACAACGACGAAAAACAGCAACTTCAAATTCACAAACTGCAGCTAACACAAAGAATGCAAATTTTATAAAAATACGAAACGGGTAAGGCGGGAAATGGGCAAACCAGGGTCCCCAGCGCTCTGGAGGAGTGGAAATCTTGGCGGGCATTCGGCTTTTCATTTCGGAGAAGAGAGTGCGCTGCAGATTTTGAGTGTCGGCCATGAATGCCTCAGCATATGAGTTTTCTTTGTTGAGATGATCGGCGAGATCAGGGTCGTCGGTGTTGGACATCCAGCGGTAGGGATCCTGCCACGTTTTTCCATGAGCTGAGACAGCGAAAGGGACTTTCTTGGGGACTGGCGGCGGCGGAGAGGGCTGTGGGGAAGGTGTGGTGGGGTGGGCTCTGCAGAGAGTGGAGAAGAAGGAGGAGGATATGTTGGGGAATAAGAGAAAAGAGAGGGTTAAAGAGGAGCCTTTGATTGAGCTTGAGCAGTGGGGTTTAAGGATGGAAGAAAGAAGAGCCATGAAAGCTTTAACTGGAAATGGGGGAAGCTCAGAAAGGTAACGACTTCTGCCGGGAAGTATTAGAATCTTATAACCCCACTGACCCTATTACTATTTTATTGCTTTTTAGCCAAAATGATATCTGGTATTGGCATAATTTCTTATTTCGATACTTGAGATTTAAAACAGATAGAATTAGTGTCTAAGATTGTCCATCACCAATAATTATGGTCACTCTATGAAAAATCTCTAGTAAGTTGATAGTATTTTTGTCAAACTAACTCATCTACTTGAATTGGTGCTTTATTTCATTTACAGGAGATTTTTCAAAATGATTGACAATGGAAAATCTCAAGACCACTTACATGATTAAAAATAAGCTAAAATGATTGACGATGGACAATCTCACGACCAATATCAGAAACCAAAATGAGAAGTGATGACAATCTCAATTACTCTTTTGGCTAAAGAGCCCTGTTTATTTTATTTTCATAAAACATTTGATTCGAACACAAAAAGATTCAAACTTGGAATTCACTCCTTTGGCAAAAATGACAATTGATCTAACTCACGCCTGCAACATTCTACTGTTTTATAGTCCCGTTATTACAAATGAAAAATCAGAGAGAAATGTGAGCAAAACCATGCAATAAGTCAATCATAATAATCAACTATCGAACTCTACGTCCAAGTGAATCTAACTTGAGACCTACTTATAAGTCGAGATAAATGCCATACAAGATATTGCTATTAGCATTGTAGCATAATATATAGACACCATTACAAACATAATCTCCTTTTACGGTCGAAATGTGTATATATATAACATAATCAGGTGATATGTACAAGAAAAAGCAATCGGGTCGACCCATTTGCAGACAATTGGGTACCAATATCCGTCACCGTCTACGGCAAATATAACAAATGAATGACTTCAAATGGCGTCCCACTTCAAGTTTTACAGAGTAATCAACTCTACAACTAAAAAATGAAAAAATTGTGAGACAGAAATACTTCTCGACGTCTTTCGCTTCGGTTTTACTTTGATCTATTTGTTACAGTCTTACAGAAGCTAGTTTTGCCTTCTCCTTCATAATGCCATAGTAGCAATTTCATTCTGTTGCAGTTGTCATTTCTTTGCGTGCTTCTCATCTTCAACATCCTGCAAGTTTCCATTAAAATGCCACAAATCATTTGCACGGTACTTATGGAACGTTCATAAATAGTTGGTCAAACTAAGCGGGAGGTTTCGTGATAATGTAAAAAACTGACCCCAAAAAATGTAAGATACAATACAACATAGAATTGAAAAAACCGCAAAGAAAGAAGTCTCATAGCTGAACCAATGGGATAAATGAAGCTTACCGAATTGCCAATCTTGTCAAAATCATCATCAAAGCTCCCATCACCATCATCATGATCATCTGAAAGTACAAAATTGTCAACAAACTGAAGAGTAAATTGCACAAGAAGGAAAATCCTAGAAAATGAGGAGATTGTCTCAACGAAAAACTACAAAGGAACTATGGAAGGGTATGACTCTTATGACTAGTAAGGATTTGTTAACAACACACAGCTTCACTGGTTACAGATAGACTTTTATCAGAGTACATTGGTGATGAATAAGAAATAATTCTCTCACGAGAATAAAACCAACTCACTATATTGAGGTGAAATATGAAACATGTGCATCAGTTTTTCATTAAGCATTTCAATCTGTCAGGTTCTGTTTCATAAAATCATTTCTATTACATGCTCGGGAATTGGGAGTATACAATTTCTAGTTACCATGCCACCTGCTTGTGTGCCTTCAAATTGTGCACATGTAAGACACACGGAACTCTAACCCCATACAACCTCTCTTTTGGCCATTCCACACCGGTTCAGCGATTTCAACTTCTTAATTGAATAATGACTAAACATAAATAGATATGTGAGTTTAGAGTAACAAGTTGAAAGACATGAGCATCCTTTAACTTAAAGATGGTGGGAAAGCTCGCGGGCATGGCTCGCAAAATCATACACAGGCTACGAGTGAAAAGGTAAAGGAACTATACCTGGACCCCCATCACTGTCTTCAAGATCACCCAAAAGAAAACTATCCAAGTCCTGCTCAGTTGACGATGATTTCGAAACTAAAGGCTTTGTGTTCTTTTCAGATCCTTCTGCTTTGTCAGTCACTCCAACCACAGGTGTTGGCTTCACAATATCATCTTTTAGTTTCTCTGCTTCCTTGACTTTCAATTCCTCCATGTATTGCTTCTCATATCTGATCATAAGTTCATAGTCAGTCATCTACGGAAAAGACTACAGACTGAGACCAAAATTTTCCAAAATCAAGAGCCCTCCCCATAACAACTAACCACCCAATAAAAAGTATCTAGATCTATCTTTTAAACTTCCTCTTTTTTAAACATCTTTAAACTTTATGTGAACAACACAGCCACAAGTTCGCAACACATGACTGTATTACACTAAAACAAGAGGACTGCTCGTCTCTTGTTTAAAATTATAATGAGAAAACACACACAATTGCATAAAATTTTCAATAATACTATTGCTCAATTTAAGAATCGCTTAACCAAAATGAACTGCTACTTACGGCGCCACATGACTGCTCACAAGGGTAAAATATATCTTCCAGAATATTCTTTCTTTCATAGCACGCGGGCATAATTCATATCTCAGCCTTGAAATTTCCTGCAAGAAAATCAGTATTCTCACGAAGAATTCGACAAGTCCATAACGGTATCAATACAAACTTAACACATTTCTTCATCAAATTGAGCAATAAATCGGCGAATCAAATTTCGAAATACAGCTAAGATGGATTGCATTGAACTTAACACTATGTTTGTGTTGCGCTGTATCAGAATTGAATCAGATAGCGAAAATACATGAAATCTTACTTTATTGCCACCTCAAAGATGGTCTCTTTAGCATTTTCCACATTACAAAACTGACCTTAACAGTAGTGAGCACCAAAGTTGCATGTCGCTCCTGCCACTCCGTCAGATCTTTCCTCACATTCGAGGTCGTGGTCGGCACATCGGAGACCTCCTCCGCCGCATCTGAAACAACTCAGAACAACGCACATTCGCCTCAATTCAACTGAAATCAACAAAGAAACGAACTGAAATCGGCCAATACCTTGGACCGGAAAATGCTTGAAGGTGTCGGAAGTGAGTCCCTTGACAAAATCTCTGAGATCGTCGGTGACACCGAACTTCCTGAGCTCCGACGGCGAGGGCGGCTCAGGGGCGGAGGACGCGGAGGCGGAGTTGACGATCGAGAGCGAGGCGAGCTGGGGAGGAATGATCTCGGAGACGGAGAGGGACTTGATCTGATCGGCCTGCTTGAGCGCGGCCGTCTTGATCTCGTCGGCCTTCTTGGACGCCTCGGCGGCGAACTCGCGGGATCGCTTGGCGGTTTCGGAGACTAGGTCGGTGATCTTGGCTGAGGTGGTTAGGGTTTGGGACTTCTTGGCCGCTTCTTCGGCGAAGGTCTTGGCTCGCTTCCACAAGTCTTCCATTGTCGTTTGATCTCTCCTTTGCTGTTTGGATTGCCTCCTTTATTTGTTTTGTCCCACCGTTTACTTAGCTACTGTGTTTCTCAAGATTTGCCAACCCTCGTAGGTGCTAGAGCGCGCTTTGGTTGCGCGGCTAATAAACGCCCGTCGTTAACTACCATAAAATCAACCGACCTGTCGTTTTCTTTTGAAAGTGAACGAATTTGATTGATTTTTTTCCACAAATGAACCCGTTTTTACTTTTTATACATCTTTTTTTAATTTTTGTCATTTATATTATTCAATTCGTTTAATTCGACAGTTGAAAATTGAGAAGAATGTGTGGAAGGTAGAATATGGTGTGCAGATAGCATCACCAAATAAAAATAGTTTTTTTATTAATATAGTGAATGCTCACATAAAATATCTATTTTCTCACGTTTCATTTTAATTTTGAGCATGATTTGACTCATTGTTTGTTCATCAAATTGTTTTTTCAACCTTATTGTTTCATCGAGATGTACTTTTCCGATCGATCTATTTCTTTGAAATACGCACGCTCATTTATTTCATTCACAAACAAAATAGTGTGATTCGACTCATTGGGGTAGTTTAAAGAATGATTTAAGTTGATATAAAATATGTGGCAACTCTCAACAACCTTCACTTCGATTGGAATAATAAATGGCTATGGAAGAAAAATTCAAATTTGAAGACGTGTGTCAACGTTAAAAAATAAGGGGTTAACAAAGATTAGTATAGTCGGTTTTGGTGGGCTCGAGATTAAAACTGTAATAATTTAATAGTAAGGATTAAGCGGTTTGCCCCTTAAAATTGGGCTACGTTCACTGTGGTGCTCATATATATATTGAACATTGGTTACAAGGAGTGGTCGGTAATAGTCTAAATCTTTCTTTTTGTCTCTTGTATATGACTGATTATAAGAGGTAATCACCCCCTTTATATAGGCCCTCATCGAGCATCAAAAGTCCCAGACTCAAGTACTTTACCACCTTCACATTTAATAAACCAAGTACGTAGACATGACTTGCTAGCTACTCTTCTACACTCCCTAGCGACACGTGGTAACAAAGTGACATTGGTTCATTTCTAAATGCATGTTTTTTTGGGCCAACTCTTTCCGGGTGCCTTACTTGGCTCTGATGAGTCAATAGTACCCTATCCCAAGCGCTTAGTTTGACAATCTTTACGTCCTTTCGTAGGCTTTTACCTTTGTTTATGGCAAACACGTACCCTGGGATTAGTGTCGAGTAAGCCTACCCCTGGGACTTCATAGTATAAAATTGTCAGTTTGTCAACTTACCAAAAATTACTTTATGAGGAAATGCTCGACCCCTTTGCTAACAAACTAGGCCATTGAACGGTCCTCTGTGGCGTTCGGAGCTGCCCTTTGAAGTTCTATTAGGCCTTCGTCTTTTTTTTTCTTTGGATCTTGGTCGTTTTATTCTTCTTTGGGCATTTATTAGGCCCTTCTCAGGCCTGTAACATTTTAATAGTCGAAAAGGACCTTAACAACGTGCTTTGCAGTCTATTGGGTCAAAGTATTGGAATCATGGATCATTGGCACCATTCAAAGTTGAAACTAGGAACGCATGTATATATAATTCCTTCGATTAAGAAGCAAGTTTAATTAACTAGTTGAAAATCGTACGGGACTATTGCCATGGAGTCTACCAAGGATACTGTTCCACCCACTTATGCGCTACATAACAAAACTTGCTTACCATAATCAAGCTTAAGCAGGCAAATCAATGTTTGTTTCTAACTAAGAGAAATGCTAAAGAAATTATCTCAAAAGTGAAATTTTTTATGAACTCTCTATCACTTCACAGTTCAATGTCAACTCCCGTGCCAACACTATAAAATTATTATGCTAAAAACATTCGATGCTAGAGAGTCTATAAAGAATCAACTTTTGAAAAAACCTCCTTAGCATTTATCTCGAACTAATTAGCTTATACAAATATATATACATATATATATATTTTTATTATTATTCACACAATGCAATATTTTAAACTACTTTAAACTATTGAGAGAGCAAGAGAGCTATTATGAAACAAACAAAAATGATTTTCTTACCATTTATTTATACCAGCATTTGTACTATCTCTCTAATAGAGATGAGATCTACATGTGTTACTTCTATTAGAAAGATGATATAAATAGATGGTAAATGTAGCACTACTCCGAAACAAGACCAAAAACACTATTTTGATCAACTAACTTTAACCCGCAAAGATATGCAATATAAATAAATACTTAACTATAATATATAGTTTGCAATTCCCGTGAGAGCATGTTACCAAATGTTGGGGTTTGTAGCCCTCATTTGACTACTCGAAAGACCTACCAACTCCACAAAAACAACATTAATAATTTAATTTGGGGACCTCGTCCTAGTTAGCAACAAATCTTGGGTTTTGCTCCTTAATGTCGGCCACAAGAGATGCTTAAAAACACACACACACTCCTCATTTTCCTCCCTAATTACAAACCCTAGCATTAACGTATCCAAAGTGCTTTGTTCTAATTTCTATCAGTATCTGTCCACGGCAACAGGCAACAGGCATGCATGTTTCATGGAGAAAATGAAGGGAAGGAGTTGTGTATGGGACTTCGTCGTCTTACACTCTGATAATCCATTGTGAAGAACTCTGGCGTGTCCTCCTTCTCCATCTGTTCTTGCCTTGTTTCTGCTGATCTGCTTCTTTCCACTACCTGCACTTTTTCATCTTCTTTCTGGGTTCTTGGCTTCTTACCACCTGAAAAGTCAATGACAGTACTTACTTAATATTTTACTCAAAAACATATGCCTATATATGATACATGACAGAGGTCATTGACTACCTTAGATTCTTACTTGGAAAAATTATTAACCATTCATACTAGCAAGTTGCAACTAAGGGCCTTCTACATGTTCTTATCTATTTTTATCCGTTGATCTTTTTACGTTTTTGGATCAAAAAGTTATAAATAAACATAAGTGTGCATAAAAAAGAAGACTGAAAATTATTTCCCCGCAACTAAATACTTCAGTAGTAAGTTGAGAGAATAAATTTGAAAATTTGAAATCAATTGCTCCATGAACACTATTCGGCTCCTTACACCTCCTATTCTATGAATTACCGTATGACCAATATGCAAAAGTATTATTAACTACAAAGCGAAAAGTCTCTGCACACATATCATATTATGATTTATCACGGAAGATTGAAACCTTACATGTATAGGACTAAGTATTTCCTTACTACATGCACGTTTGTCAAATTTGGAACTGTTTGAACAAAAGAAAAAACTAGCTACAATTGATGTTTGCCAAAATTTTCAGCTTTAATCTATGTATTACAACAATTTCACTATTAGTTTAAGCATCGTGAACAAGCATTATACCTGCTAAAGCATTTTCCTTATGGTTGCTGTAGGCTGAGTAATCTTTAGCTTCTTGTTCTGCAACCTGCATGTAAATATTTCAGATAATATATACGCGGGTGAGGGAGATGAAGTTAAGAAGTGATATGAATTTCATAAGCACGCGCTAAGAAGTGTGTGTGTGTGTATACACACTTTTATTCGAGTTACTAATGTTCCAAGGAAAGATTATTCTTACAGTTACTTTAACAGTGAACCTAAGTTTTCTTGGCAGTGTAGGGAGAGAAACTTGCAGTTCGTTCTTCGCTGCATCACAATGTTAAAAGGTTACTCAGAGTCCCAGATATAACCTAGAGAGAGAGAGAGAGAGAGAGAGAGAGAGAGAGAGAGAGAGAGAGAGAGAGTACCTGCAGCTTGTTTGTTCGATGGTAGAAGTTGAGTTTGCAGAGAAGCACAGCCGGGTGTAATTAGCAAAGTGGAGAGAATTAGAATGCAAAGAAAAGTGCAGAATGCCATCTCCATAATACTATCTAAGATTAACTGTAACTACTGATATATATATATATATATACACTTCTTTTGTGGGTATGGCCTGTGATTTATATCAATCAATTGTAGCGGTAGCTGGTAGAGAGAGAGAGAGAGAGGAGATACACAGAGCACAAAACGGAGAGTTCCAATACAAGCAGAAGGAACTGTTTTGTCAAATTAACTATGCTTTCCTTTTTATAAAGGTTTTCACACCATTTGGGTTGGTTTTGTCATGACCTAGTACATACCACTATTCAGTAGGGCCTTTTTCACTTTGTTTCTATTTTATAACAATCTTATGAGTTTCACACATCCTCCAAATATTGATGGCGCATGTGGTCCTATTATCGAAGAAACTTATGCATAATAAGATTATTGTTAGGGTGACGTTTTGAGCCAATTATACAATATTAAGAGCAAGTTTCTTTTTGTATAATATAAATTTATTCTCATATAACATTGTATTATTAGTCTAAGATGTCACAATGAAATCACAAAAGATGCATGTATGTATTTTGCAAAATGATAATACGTCTTTTACCTTCAGCCAAGGTTCAACCCCTTTCTTCCCATTTGGAGAAAGAAATTATTCGATAGTTACATTGTGTGCTTTTCGATTCCATCACTTCCCAACCCCTGCATAGCTCAAAAGGTGAAAGACCACCTCATATGCGTCGATGAATCATTCATTTTGTAGGTCACATTTAAATTCTTTCTGCTCGATGAGCGACCAGCCTAGCAGGATTAAAAACAATAACATGCCTAGCTTCAAGACTCAATTTCCCATACCTACCTTCAATCATCATAAGAAGCTACTACTTTTTTTGCCCTTCTTTTTTACTGGCACAGGCTTGATAGGCCTCTAATTCTATGCAAGTATTAGAAGCGCAACAAATGTATTTTTTATTTTTTATTTTTAGTAAAAAGAAGCGCAACAAATGTTTTATAAATAAAAAAACGCTTGAAAGTGAATCATGTGAAAGCATATTATATGTGCTTCTGTAGTTTTGACATTAAGGGTTGTTTGGTGTTATTTTTAGAAGATTAAAAGCGCTTTCTAATAATAAAAAAAGACTCTGCGTTAGGGAAAAATTCTCAAAAGTGTTTCAAGCTAATAAACACACTTTTTGGAGATACACATATCACATGTTTTTTCAAAAATCCTTTCCAAGTGCTTTTATAATAAGCACTTAGATTTTTAACAAAGATTTCAATGTGTTATAATAAAAGCACTTCTCTCGAGCATTAGTGCTTTATAGATAAGCAATCTCAAACGAACAATAAATAGGCGGGATTCAAATAATTTTTGGGCCAGACTTTATAAGCAAACCAACACGTACCGATAAGCCATCCAAAAGGGGTAAAAATGGAAAAGAAGGATAAACGGATGAAATAAGGGAACTTCAACGAAAAACCACATTTTTACACTAAAAAGTCAGTCCTGATACTATTCACTTTACCCTTTATTTTGTCATTTTCGTTAAAACTCAAAGTTTTCAAACCCTTTTCATTAGTTTTCCTATGAAATAAATCAGTGCTTACACCTTAAAGCGCACGCTTAACAAAGCATGGCACTCCTGTAAACCTACCGCAAATTACATCCCAAGCCGCAGAAAACATGTTGTATGTATTGACGATGATAATATAAAAGATGTGATAGAAATATGATGGAGCATTTACTCTGGCTTAACTTAATTACAGCATTCGGAGAGTATCAGAATCTACAGCAAAGAAAACAACCCCTCCAACCCCTATGTTTACGCAAATGCCTCCGGTCAGCTTTCGCCATTCTAACCGGACTGTTGTTCCACTCGGACTGTAATCTGCATGCCAAAGAGGGAATATGAATGTGGTATCAGTTGTGTGTTCCAGGAACTTGATAGTGGTTAGAGAAACAAAAGGGAGGAAGGGGTTTGAGAGGTTACTCACACGGGGAAGGCAAAAGAGCGGGTGCTGGTGGTGCTGCTTTCTGATCGAAGGGAGACATTACCAGAATAGGGACCTGAGGCTACGAAATTCGAGAAATGACCAGCAGCTGAGAAACTCGCCTCTCCTAGACCGCGCTGAAATTGGAGTGGAGCATTCTGTGTATCAGCATTCACATCTTCCACCATGTATTGATATGAAATTTCAGGAGCTAACCAATGTTGAACCTGGCTTGAAACGACTTTGGAATAAGAGATGTCATCAACCTTGGATGTATTTGAAGTTTCGGGACATTGACAGATGCCATTCTCAGGGCACTCATCTCTGGCAATAGTTGGAGAAGCTGAACAATGTTGAACTTGGCTCCAAACAATCTTTGAATCAGAAATGTCATCATCAACCTTGGCCGTATCTAAAATATCGAGATTTTGACAGACACCAGTTTCAGGAAACTCCTCATTTCCAGTAGCCACAGGTGGTAAACAATGTTGAAAATGGCTTGAAACAAGCATTGAATCAGAAATGTCATCATCAACATTGGACATATTTCTAGTATCGAGATGTACACCATTCTCAGGACACTCTTCTCTTCCAGTAACCATGGGTGCTAAACACTGTTGAACTTGGCTGGGCACGACCTCTGAATCAGACATATTGTCGTTTTTGACATCATGATCATCATCATGTAAAGGCATATCGCAGACATTATTTTGATGGCTCACGTCTGTGGTAATGGATACATGTGCTGAAGCGTCGAAACCAGAAATAATGTTTCTGTTCTCTGCCTTTCTATCACCAAGAAGGCACTGTGATTCTTCAGCTGCAGAAACCAATACTTCCTTCTCAATATGGTTAGACGCTTCAGTTTCTGAAACCAAAGTAGGGCTCTCAGTCTTTGCTATTTCACTTGACACCTGCATTGAAACCACAGGAAACTACATCAAATTCCTACTTTCTTGTCTATAGCTTATATGCACAAGTATACTTTTCCCAAACATGAAGCTGAGAGTCTAACTTCCACTGACAGAATTTTTTTTGTTTGCTCGTAGCAAGTAAAACTGTCAGTAACGCTGCATAATCGCAGCATAAATATAGGTCATCGTTGCAACAGCCACTTAATGCGCACAAATGGAAATTTGCAAAAGCAGTCATCTTTTTCATTATTTATCCTATGAAGAATAATCTTTTACGCACAAATTAGTTTCCACTCTTACTGTTGCAGACATTAAAATATGCAACAATACAAACTTAGAGTTAGAGATATACCTGAATAGTCTCTTGTTCGGCTTCATTACTGTCCTCATTAAAAGACTTAGAGTGGGGGTTCCCTTCACCCAACTCTTGCACTGCCAGCACATTTGCAGGGGACGAAATTTCTTTGGACACGTCAATTGCAGTCTTCTCCGAATTTATAGCATCGCCTCTCTCCGTCAGATCCTTGGAATTGCAAGGAATGGAAAATCCCTTCTCTAAATCATTTTTTGTAATAGGTTTAAAGCCATCAGGAATGGTCGTAACGATATCCATTTGTTCTACAAGCATTTGCTTATTCTGATCCTCATCAGGAGATAAACAGGTGCAGCATGCCTTCTCATCCATGCCAGTTTCGACCCAGTTCTTGTCTTGGGAAGGCACTCCCTTATCAATACATATGTCCTTAATTGTATTACAACTGCTGTCTTTGTAACAAACTATCAATTCTGGAAGTTCACATTCTGTAACGCTTTTGTCCATATAATAATCCGATTCCTTCTCTAATGCTTCAAAATTTTCAGAAGAACGAGCATATGGTGACCCAAAACCCTTTACTGCTGCGTCTTCATTACTGTTTTCCAAATCATCCAGAGTCTTTAAGCAGTCAAAATTTGATACAGAAAAGCCATTTCTCATATACGGTACTTGACCAGCATCTTCTTCATTGTCCTCTGAACCACACGAAACCCTGTTCTGACTTTCCTTCATGGTCCAATTTATTGACTGTAATCCCGCAGTGTCCAAAGTAATGTCCTTGCAATTAAAAGGATTAGAATCAGGATTGTGGCTTATAGATAAGTGGCCAAACACTGGTTCTCTCTCTGCAAGACATCAAAACAAACCCTCAGTGCCAGAGAAACCTGAGCATTATGGCATTCATTTTCTACCTACTAAGAATACATTGCAGATGAGTATTATATAACTCTGAAACTATGTCATAAAAAGCTGAAATAGAGGCACAATCGAGAAAATAGCCCTACGCAACACAACATAAGATATCAAGATAAAACTACATGGAAGACTACAAAAGTTCATAAATAAGATGTCTGCTGCACCTGCAAGAGTTCAATAACAAAGTGGTCAAAACCAAAATGAAAAATAACCAGTGATTACCAAGTTTCATGGATTACATAGATTGAGGAAAGCCAGAGAAAGCTTCAAAGCTACGGCAAGGGATACTTTCAAGCATGGACCCTGCCCATTCAAATGCAATTTACAGAAGTTAGCAAAAAAATTCAATACAATCCCGCTTTGAAAAACTTCATAACAGGGAAGCTAAACAGAAACAAGGATGCTCAAGTTATAGAAATAAAACGCGAAGATTTTCACACAAATACAATCTCAAGATTAGGCACAAAATCTGAAAGATGTGTGAAAGCATACTTGAACCAATGTAAACAAAATGTTGGAGAAAAACAGGAGAGTCAACAAAAACTGTTAAATACTTGAAGAGAATCCCCAACTTATCAGGAAAATAAAATTGAAAGGGCTGCTAAACAACTCACGTCAATAATTAAAAGCCAGAAGTTTCCCACAACTACCTCTTTTTCTATACATTATTAAGGAAGGAATGGATTGATTAATGGTGGATTACAACATAGCAGCCCAAAGACCAACCTAAAGAAACAAAAGACAATTATCACAGCTGCCCCTCATGTGTAAACAAACAAACAACATCCAAGCATTACCCCATTAAGTGAGATCGGCTGTATAAATCCTACAAAGCCACTGTACTCGGTTTTGTGCTGTCTTTTGTAAACTCTAACTACTCAATATCTTTTCTTAAATCTCTTTCTAAGTCTTCCCATGTCTTCTTCATGTGTAAACAAAAACAACAGAAAATACAAATGCCACCCATCGAGTTTTTCATCACAGATAGGATAAAATAAAAAACAATACACACACATATATATATATATACATATTCATAGGAAAACAAAAAAGAGTATCAGAAATTGTAAAGCAAAACGTGAAGCCAAAAACGAGGGAGACAGAAATTGATAGTCAAAAAACTTTGGTAGACACCATGGAGCCCCAAAGTCAGTTCTCACCCTACAAAAAGACAAGGGGTAAAATGTCCCAACATTTTGAGACCCCAACAAAAAGTTGCAAACTTTCAACAGTTAAAAAATGAATATTAAAATCAAAAGTCTCAAGAGGCCTTTCCTTTAAAGATTCCCAGTTCTCAACCTACGAATTTGTCAGGCAACACACTCATCAGATCCAACTGGTTGGAATCCAAGGAAAAAAAAAAACAAAACCCCAGACTATGAAATCTACAGAAAACCCCAGATGGGCAAATTTGTAAAGAAAAAAACCCAAAAACAAAAGTTGGGGGAATAAGAAAGATCTAAATCCGATCCCAGAAGATAAAAATATTATAAGAAAGTAAGAAAGTACCTTTTTAATCTGGCGGTACAGAAACCAGCAGCTTTCTCTTCCTCTCTTCAGAAACAACTACAACCAGAAGAAAATAACCCCAAATGAAAAAGGATCAGTCCCAAAAAATCAAGTAAATTCAATCCAATTGAGAGCAACAAAAACCCATTTCTTATAATTTCAGATCGTAAAACCAGTATTAAATTCTGCAGAGAAATTGGCAGGGAGAGAGAGAGAGAGAGAGAATGAACCTTAGCTCCCAGAACAGAGAGAGAGAAATATTCTGTAGTTGAATTAAAGTTTCAATAAAAATGATTAATCAGAGAGCCAAAAAGGAGTAGGCTTTGGAAGAAAGTTTGATGAGAGAGAGAGGAGTGAGAAGAGAGAGATGAGAGAGAGTTCAAAGGGGAGTCAAAAATGGTTAAACGGATTTTATTTTCTTTTCTTCTTCTCTCCTAATTAATAGGCATTGGTTTCAGCATTTAATATCTCAATTCATTTCACCTCCTCACTTCTTACCTGTCAACCACTTTCCCTTCCGTCACCTTCCGTGAAAATCCCCGCAAAATTTTCCTTCCTTCCAAACAGACCTCACCGCCCCATGATCACGACACCGATCGCCAAACCCCGAGCTGAAAATAAGTAAAGGCCGGAACTTTGAGTCTTTGACTTGCCGGAAACTTGGGAATGTTAGGCTGTGTCACGGATCAGGGGAGCAGAGAATGCGGAGTCAAACTGCTTCTGCTCTGCAAACCAATTCGGTAGTCAATGAGCTCCTCTGTTTCTCTCTCTCTCTGTTTCTTTCTCTCTCTAGAGCCGATAGAAGAAGTCCACGATCGCTTCAGGGATCTTAAGTTCTTTTATTTTCTGGAGGTATTTATATAATATACTTCTGTGGGACCCAATTCGTTTCATCCTCTCCACTCTCAAAGTCTCTGTGTTGGCGATCACCAATTGTCAATTTTCTCTGATCAGACTCTGGGCGAGAAATCTGAGCCATTAAATCGATACGAAATACGGTTTATCCACTCCCAATAAGTCGTCCTTGTATGAGTTAAATTTAAGAAAAACTAATAGAAATGGTTTGAAAATTTTAAATTTTAATTTTAAAGACAAAATAAAAGATAAAGTAAATAGTATTATGATTAACTTTTTAGTACAAAAATCTGATTTTTCATTAAAATAAATAATACCGGAAACTTTTCATTAACTTCCCTTAAATCTAAGACCTCTTCTAAACAAATGAAGACCAAATCCTTGACTAGTTATGTGCAATGTGGGTCGAGTTTTAAAGGGCTCGTTGATATTACTTCGAGAATAACTAAAATTGGTTTCATCAAAAAACACATATAATTGTATTTAGCAAAAAAAGTTTCGTTTAAAAACAATCTCAAACGAGCCAAAGTTTGAAATTGCTAATGCGGGTTTGCGGTGCCGGGGATTACAACTCTGGGGAGTAATCTGAAAGGGAGCTTTTTACTTTCTGTCGTCAACTGTGTTTTGGTTGGCTGCTAGCACACGTGTAGGCGGAATGTGTACTTGCCAATGTGCGCCGGGGCGGGCCGGCGGGGGCGGCGGAACCGCAAGGCTGTCTTGTCGGTACTCGGCAAGATGGACGGAATTGATGCAAAAAGCAAAGGTGGTGTCACATCTAAAGAATGTATTGAATTCCATGCCAAATCGACGGCCATTATTTACTGAAATTGTGTTTGTCAATTTGGTACGATTGATATCGCATGCTTCACGGGATCCAAATCATCCCCAAAACTAATTGATCTTGCGTTCATCTTGGCCAGTCCGTATCCTTACAATGCATTTTTCAGGGTGTTAATGATACAAAATGGTACACTATATATTCATCTCTCTCTCTCTCTGTCTCTCTCTCTCTCTCTCCCCAATCCTACACATTAATGTACAAGTAGAAAGACATTTGAAAAATAATTTTTTTTTACTTATATAATGACACAAAGTGTAACGCTTCGTATTTTAAGTATGTTAAAAAATGTATTCATCAATACAAATGTTTCGATTTTGTAAACACATTGCCACCAAATATTCTATATAAAATAAAATAGTAATTAGAAGCCAAAAGATTACATAAAAACTGAACCTCTAGGAAAGGTGTTTTTTCCAAACCCAACAATTTAATTTTTTTTATTGTACTTGAAATACAAAAACATATGACTTACTATTTTACTTGAACTAAACCAGTATACATCAACCACCTCATTTGCCTTATTAAAGTACCCCTAAAAAAAAATATATATATATATACACACACACACACACACATACACACGACGTGATTTGTGTTTTAAGTACCTCTGAAAATTTATCCTTCGAGACCAAAACACAAGCATCAACTGAGCAGCTAGCAATAGCAAGCAAGCAACATGAAAACAGATCGATGTTTCCTTGAGAATAATAGTCCTAGGACTCTAGTACAACTGCAACTACGAGAGGATATGGATTTGTTGGTGAATCTCTAACTGCACCAATATTGATATTGATATTAATATATGGAACAAGTAGCTACGCTATCTAGTGAGTTTGTTAGGATACGTGCATGCATGCAGGCGTATCTGATAAGGAAGTCAGTCGGTGGATTGATCTCACTAGTTTTTGGCATTGCTCTCAAATCTGGTCAAGCAAATGTACGGATTATAAGATTAATCCTGCATGTCATCTCACGGATTAGAATGATCAAGTAGGTATAGGGTAGGTAACGCCTTCATCCTTTATAAGCATTAAGCAACGAGGTGATGATTTTAAACAATTTTTATGACTATAGAATAGTGACTCATATTTTTGGCAAAGATGATCCTATATTGATTTATATATACACAGTTTCGATAAATAAGTACGAAATTTTGTGAATCAGTTGAGTTTTGAGTATCTATATCCTAGTATTGTTCATATATTTCCCATATGGCCCGCACTAGCATTGCACACATCATCAGTTAACAGATTTTGTAATGGCAGGTGGTACATAGCTACAAAACACAAATTTTGGATGGTAAGTTGTAAAATATTGTAATTCAGGTGGTATTTGGCACTATTTGCACATTTTTCTAAAAGTTCAGGTAGTATTTCTTATACATACATACATATATATATATATATTCCCACCCATTACATGCAATTTCTTTATTATTTATTCAATTATTTAAAAAAAATTGGCCTGGATCGCATCGGATGCATGCATATGTATCAGTTTAAAGGGCTTTACATTTAAATATCACTGCATGTGTGTCAGTTTATTATTACATGGGGATTCCAAAACTCTCCTTTTGCTTAACTTCTTTAATTTGTATTTTTGTTTTGTGAGTTTCTTTGCTTTTTATGTTTTTATTTTTTGTTCTGCATATTGCTTCTATTTTTTTTATTTGTCACTACTGCATATGGCCATATGGGAATCCCAACTGAATTCTCATGAATTATAAATTTATAGGTAGGTAAACCATGATGGAAGTAACAGTATCCAATGTGCGTTTGCATTTGCAATATTAAATATTTGGGAGTTCAACTTCTTCTATGTCGTTCTCAAGGAAGGAAACCTAAATAAAATATGACTCATGCATCTTTTTGTTGTCTTCATGCAATGGAGCCCCAAATGGAGTGTTGGGAGAATATTTCTGTGTGTATTTTTATTTTCCTTACCATCTGTTAATATTTTTGCATATTTGCGGATGTGTGTGGTTCTGTCGTCTACCATCATCCAACCATCACTAAGGCTTGCTGCACCACTTCCACGCCGCCGTTCCATCGCCGACAGACTGCAGCGCCATCGCACCGCCTTGCTGAATGTTTCGTCTTACATGGATAAACAAGATTTTCAATACTACAGTTTAATCATTCCAAAGCCCATGATCCATGGATATATCAGTGGGAAGTTTTCTGCAACTCCCCGAGGCTAGATTCAGTTTCCACCTTGCAAATAAGTTGGTCTCGTATTATATAATATGACATTTTGTATTACAATTGGAAGTGCAGTGGTGTATGTACTCAATGGCAAAGAGAACGCATATTCGATATGGCGGTGCGGCAAGACGGAAGTGGAGCAGCGAGACGGCCGAAGTGGAGCTGCAAGCCTTGGTGATGGGAACGATGGTGCGACTTGCGACCGCAAAGTTTGGGAACGATGGTGCTGGACTTTTGATCAATTAGGTTTTAAGTGTTCTTATTTTCTTCCTAAAATTAATTAACCCTCAATTACTTTTTATCGAAATAATGTAATTAAATCCAAGTTGGAATTGAGTAGTTAAATTTTAATGCCATGGCAAACGCTACTTAATTTGGTACTCAAATTTGGTGCACAAGTTTGATACCCGAAGCAATAGTATACAATCTAAAATTGTAACAGAAAAGCTACACTGAGTCAATTATACAAATGAACAGATGGACCAACGTTAGTCTCTCTTTTTTAATAATAAAAAAACTTTTCTGTTAGCAGCTGGAGGCCGGAGAGTTCAGTCACCATTCAACGAAAACAAATCACAAGAGAAAAATGGGAGTCAATAGCTTTTAAAGCTTGTACACCTTCATGAATAATATCTCGCCATAACTATAGTTATATAAATGTATATATGTGCATGCAAACCAAATTTTCAAACTTAAGTTTGTTGAAAATGTTCTGTGCTTGGACTAAGAACACGAGATTTGATTTCCACGCCAAACTTAATTAATAAATAATTGTCATGTAATATAATTAGGGATGACTGAATGATTAATCATAATGTAATCGTTCACATTTAGTCAATCGAAGAATTTATAAACAAGGCAAATCTAAGAGTGAAATTAAATAGGAATTCTCTTTAGTTTTTATAACAATACTAACTAGTTGGAGTTGCTGTCATAATGGGTCATGGGATGCAACTACCATGCAAATATATTATGAGAATATATAATTTCATACTTATAACTTACAATCACGATCAACTTTTTTCGTCAAACATCAACTACTTATTCTTTTTAATGGTCACACAATTTAACTATATTTATAAAAACAGATTGACTTTTTTTATATTAATCATCTCGGTTCTTGTAAACCGTACATAACGTATCAATGAGGGTTTGTTGAGATAGTGATGATATCGTTATCCTTATTAAACCAACGTTTAGATTCGAGTCTCACTTCTGGTAATCTCTTTTAGTAAGTGATTTGTAAAAATTAAAAAAAAAACTAAGACCCCCTCTGTAAGTCCTCAAAAAAACTTGTGATATGTCGTGGCCCTGAAATTGGATAACTTCCCCTCTCCCTAATGAGAAATGATGTTAAAAGTCTGTTTGATATAACCTTTAGCTTTTTATTTTTTGTGTTAGTGATATAGGGGTAATACGTACATAGACAAAATGCATAAGTCATACAATAAGAATTGAGCCAGCTACGATTATATATTGAACTTGCAACCATTGAAATCAAATTTGAGATTTTCATTTATAAGTGGCAAGATTATCTTTAAAATTGAAGTATTATGTTTAAGGAAAGCTGTATTTATAATTTTATATACATGAAATAATAAGGTACCCCAAATTCAGTTCTTAACAATTCAAATAAGAAGAACAACCACTATTGGCGTTACCTCTACCAACATGACTATATAAGTAGTACTTTTTTTTTTATTTTTTTAAATCAGTTAGTGGCTTCACCACGACAATCCCTTTTAAGAGCCAGAGAAACAATATTTCTATTGTTCCATGAGCAATCATTTCATACCAATTTCCCTACCTATACAAATTAATTCCACCAAATTAATTAATAAAAACACCTTTAGTTTGGACCACAAATCTATCAATTCTCTCGTTTTAGTATGAACTTAAATCTACTCTCCGACATGACCAGTACCAACAATTCCACTAAAAATACAACACGTCGTATACATACAGAACAACAAAATCTGGTACAAGATTGCGTGCCGAATTTTCTTCCAATCAAACATTAAATTCATAGAGTTCCCACCAAACTATGCTATATAATCATAAAGATAAAACACTATGCATGCATGCATATGTGTCCAGTTCTACATGCATTCGTTATTACCGAGATTCATAACTTCAGTGATAGAACACCTTACTCTAGCACCAACACAAGAATCTGACTCTCGTTCTTCTCATGTCTAGCCGCTAGACGATGGAGGATACTTACGCGACCACCATCAAATAAATTAAATAAAAGAAGCATATCTATTTCTGAACGGCAAATAAGCTTATATCCCAGAAGACAATAACAATTTTTTTTGTGTTTCTACCCGAGTTGCGTCTCCCCAAGAATATAACCCCTACAAATGTGAAGGTGACATGGTCCCAGGAGGCCAAAGTTTCCAAATCAAGCACCAACCCTTCACATTAATATTTTATATTTATATATACTTATCACCTTATAGGAAGTCTTTAAAGGAAGAGATCTCCATTTTTTTTTTTTTTATGAAAATGGGGATTAGTTGTGAGGTTTACACTACATTGAATTTTAACGATCTGAACCCTTTATTTTTCAAATTGCACCTCATAGATCATTCTTACAAAATATTAGTCAAATCGAAAATATTTAAGACATCTAATTGGGTTCAAAGAAATTAATGAATACTTTGTTATATAAGAAACAATGAAATTTTATCTTGATGATTAAATAGGCAAATGATTTCGGATTGAATTGAATTTTTGCAAGGATGATCTATGAATTGAGACTTATAAAATAAACAGTTTGGATCGTTAAAGTTCAATATTGAGTGGGCTCACACCTAATCCCCATTTTTTTGAAAAAAAATTTAGAGATCCTTTTGCATAAAGAGCCTGTCACCTTATATATAGGAAACATTTAAGGGAAGGGATCCCCATTTTTTTTATTTATAAAAATAGGGATTAGTTGTAAGGTCCACGCCACATCGAACTTTAACTATCCGAACCTTCTATTTTTCAAGTTGCACCTCATAGATCATCCTTGCAAAATATTAGCCAAATCGGAAATGTTTAAGACATCTAATTGAGTACATAGAAATTAGCGATACTTTGTTATATAAGAAATAATGAAATTTTATCTTGATAATTAAATATGCAAATGATTTTGGATTGAATTGAATTTTTGTAACGATGATCTATGAATCAAGACTTACAAAATAGACGGTTCGGATCGTTAAAGTTCGATGTGGAGTTGGCCCTTGGATTGTTGACTTCTCCTACGTGATGAACTATGGAAAGCAATGACCTGGTGCTGCATACTCGATCAGGCGATCTGTGATGGCATTGGATTGCATTCTTACTAATTATCTTTTTAATACTTAGGGTTCTTAAAGACTTTGTATATCTCTCTGTCCTTGCGTGATTAAAAAAATTTAACATAAAATATGCATGATTCAAAAAAGTTGACATAAAATAAAAATATGCTGTGGAAAAAGATTCTCGCCAGATTTTTTTTAGGAATTTTAGAGATTTTGTGATCGTGACCGTTTATCGTATATCGTGCTCTCAGAAATCATTTCAAAATTTAAAATTTAAAATTAAATATAAATAATACCTAAAGAAAACTGACTGTACGATATATGATGAACGATCATGATCACGAGATCCTTAAAAAAAGAATATGGCGGGAATCCTTTTTCCAATATGCATGCTTCAAAGTAGTTGACACTTGGCATTCTACCATAAGAAGCAAAAATTAGGTGGAAACTTGCGGATAAATGTTCTACATACGCTGTATCTTCTAACTAATACCCTTTTCTCAACCAAACCATATTTATGAAATGAGAAATGCTAAGAAGATTCTCTTAAAAATATAACTCTCCACAAACTTCACTATCTATTTTTGGGCACAATTTTCGTACCAACATTATAAAATATTATATCAAAAACATGAAGTGGCAAAAAATTCATGAACAGTCTCACTTTTAGAGAGTCTACTTCATGCATATTGGAAAAAGGATTCTCGCCAGATCCTTTTTTTAGGAATTATAGAGATTTTGTGATCGTGACCGTTTATTATATATCGTGTTGTCAGAAATCATTTTAAAATTTAAAATTAAATATAAATAATACCTAAAGAAAACTGACCGCACGATATACGATGAACGATCACGATTATGGGATTCCTAGAAAAAGAATCCGGCGAGGATCCTTTTTCCAATATGCATGCTTCAAAATAGTTGACACTTGGCATTCTACCATAAGAAGCAAAAATTAGGTGGAAACTTACAGATAAATGTTCCACATTAGCTGTATCTTCTAACTAATACCCATTTCTCAACCAAATCATATTTATAAAATGAGAAATGCTAAGGAGATTCTCTTAAAATTATAACTCTCCACGGACTTCATTATCTATTTTTGGGCATAATTTTCATGCCAACATTATAAAATATTATGTCAAAAACATGAAGTGGCAAAAAACTCATAAACAGTCTTACTTTTAGAGAGTCTACTTCGCATTCTTAAAATGGAATAATTACTTTGTTTTTCGTTTCCAATTATTCAACTTTTGTGTTTTGGCCGCTGAAGGGGGTGAAAGGAGAGAAAAGAAGAAAAAAAAAAAAAACAGAATGAATGAATGAAAGAAACTTAACATAATTTTTTGTTTTCGTTTGTATGCCTTTCCTTGTATGTTTATTCTACAACCGTATATACTACCATCCTTCCCCCTTTTCTTATCTCCATTCCCCGAATCCCAAACACAAAAAGTAAAAACTAAAACAAAACGATCATTACACGAAATCTTAATCATTATTAAAGTAAAAAACACAAATATTTTGTCAAACTCACTCCATCATGATCATCACTATCGTCAAAAGAGAAAAAAGAAACTTGCAGCTCAAACTTTATAGTTGACTCCCACCTAAAAAATGAGGAAAATGTTCCCACTTGGGCTGTCTATGTAAGACTAAATATAGGCTTGACAAACCCTAATTTTATTGCGGTGGTTCATGCATGCTTTGGCAAATGGCATTAATAATCACTAATTGACAACATAGAGAAACTTCATCACGTAACCACACTGATGGAGACTAATCCGGCCCTTCAGACCAAGGAATGGTTTATTCACAAAAGCCATGACTGCTTCTTTATTTCAATATATTTTAGGGTCTCAAAGGTGAGAAGAACTCCAATGCAGGAGTGTCACGGTAACAGTATTTAAAACAATTTATGCATTGCTATGTCTAGGAATTAAAATGCATAATAATACATAATTAACTTGAGATGTCGCCACACGGACAGTAGTATTAACTATTAAGTAACTCTTCCGAAAAGCAAGGCAAGGGCTTTGGTCTTTTAGTTTCTTCTTGCGTTGGGTTTTCATAATTTTCATTAACTTCTGGCTCCACTGAAGCCTCAAATCCAAAATTACATCACATCACAACGACAAACTGATTTGAAAAAAAAATATACATATTTCATTCATAATTCATATTTGCTTCCTGCTTCATTTACCATTTAGCAACAGCCATAATCTGTGTAGTAAAATTGGGTTAAAATCGAACTATATATGAATGGGATTCATCAAATCTAGTAGAAATCGTTGGGTTTGCCAATTTTGATGTTCTGCTCGCCTAGGAAAGCCGTTATAGCATTCTTTTGCCAGCTTTTGAAACTCCTGCAACGAACAATCAAAAAGTCGTATAAGATAACTTAGCAATAATACTTCTACAAAAGGATCCAATCCCTGCAATCAATGGTCGTTGGCTTGCATAAGGGTTCTAGCCTTCTAACTTCTTGTGTTTCGCACAACAATTTTCGGCATATAAAATGTTTGACGTGCAAGTCACATCTTAAAACAAACCTAACTTACTTCTGATCAAGATGAGCTACAACTTCCCCACCAGGGAAAGCATACTGGGTAGCCTCAAATGCTGCTTTGATCGATTGTTTCCAAGTTCCACCAATGTCTTTCGTATCTTTTGCATTTGTTTCTGCTTTGGACTGGTTTGGATCTTCCATCGGCAAGGAATAACCCGAAAGTAGATGGCCTACCCACACACCGTCTTTCCTGTACTTGCAAAGAATGGGACTATTTTCACGGAGTAAACCAAATCTCCTCGCTATATCTACCATCAATATTTCTATATAACATATCAAATCAAGACAGCATGCAGACTAGTATACGATATTCACAGAATGTGACTTTCACATGTAAAAAAAAGGTAAATGCAACACACTCATTTGATAGAGATGGAAGAGGAAGCAAGAAGGGGCTGGGAGGGTAATGCAGGACTTAGTACTGGTTTGGTACTGAGGAGCTTTTATAAAAAGTGGGTATTAAAAAAAGCTGAGCTCAAAAAAGTGTTTGTAAACACTTAAAAACAGCTTATTTTCACAGTTTTGGATGAAAAAAAGCTGAAAACGTGAAGCAGCAAAAATAAGCTTATTCTCACAGCACAGTAGAATCAGTTTTTTTTTCAAAGCACATCAATACCAAACCAGCCTTAGGGGTGTTGCGGAAGCTGCAGAGACAGAGAAAAGGAAGGAGTAAGCAGATCAAGCCCGAAGTTCCGAATGGGATGAAGAAAGTATCATCTATAGTCTGGTAATCCCATTCGTTTTTAGCAGACTCATTTATCATATTTACTTTGACACGATCAATCAAAATGAAGAGTTTCAGTTCACAGTTAATAAGTTATGCATCAAACCGCACATAGAAGGAAACAAAGAACAAAGCTGGATGCCATGCCACATTGCCACTAAGAAAACAATGCTATATATTTGAAAGAAAATGGACTAACTGTAAAGTGACTATAACTTACAGAACTATATCCATATGCCGAGGAGCATAATGTCCACCGCCCAATCCAAGAAGAACTTTATTGTTATCCTTCTCCCTAGAGCGCCAATAATATAGAAAATGAAGTTAGAGAAGCATCAAACCTTGGTTAAAATTGCAAACAAAGACATGAGCTTTTCATGAAAATCAATATACCCGTTCCAGTTTCCAACAGCAGCTTCCCCTCCAAGCCCAAGTCCTTCCCAAACTAACTGCAAGCACAGAAATTGCCACCAATTTATTCTCATGAGTTGTTTGTTCTATTAAACTTTATAAGCTCAGGGAAAACCAGAAACATTACGAAGAGAGGAAAAGTATTTGTTAAAAAAAAACAACAGTAGGACGTATCAATGACTTGCTCAAATCATTGAAATTGGTAGTTGTCTACTTAACTAGAGCCATAACTTGTGCTGCATCCTGCCTCTTCCAGTACTCATCCGTGCTGCCTGTATCATCCAAGTAACATCAAAAACAAGAAACCATCACATGCATGGTAAAAAATACGAAAAACCATGTCACATATAGAAGCTTCAGACTGAGCAGTTACAACGCTACATTTAGCGGAAGCAGTAAACTTTACCCTTTGAACAAAATAAATCAATCCTACAAACTGATCACCAAAAGGTATAAAAAATATCTTCATACGTTCGCTAAAAATGCATCGGAGCAAACATTCACACTACGCAACCGAAAATATGTATAATTCTCCCTTCCAAACCGAAAAAAAATAACACCATGCAATATAATTCCACAACTGAAAAGCATAAGAGCAATCGGGTTCATCAAAAACTCACCAATCTCCAAGAACAGAGTAGATGTATTCGTGACCGGTCCATGATGTGTACCCTCCAAAGTAATCTACATTCAAACACGCAAAGCACTATAAAATACAACACACATTTCCACAAACGGAAGATGAACATATAAAATGGAGGGCAAGAGAGTGAGAAACCTCGAACTCAGGAACCAAGTTGTGGGCTTGAGCAAGCTTTTTCAGGTGCCGGAGCCAGGGACCAATGCGGGGGCTCGGCGGCGCAGCCCAACCGGGCTTTCCGCCTTGCGGTCCAGCCTTGCCTTCACGTAGATGAGGGATCCCGATCGGGTGCACGGTCAGTGCCGGCCGGTTGGAGACGGCGGTGTGTTTGCTCAGAAATATCACCTCGTCGACTCGCTCGCCGGTGGCCTCCTCCCACCGCTTGTCCAAGTCGTCTTCTTCCACAATTCCCCTACCGTGCAGCAAAACCCTGACTCCTCCTCCTCCTCCGTTGACAAACCCCTTCATGTCCTGTTAATTAATTCGTTAATCATGATTAGCGATAGATAGTGTTAATTACGGGTTAATTGGTGATCAAGGAAGGTCATTGGCAAACCTGTAAACAGGAAGGGGAGGGGTCCCAGCCGGGCATGGCTAGGAGGGCATTGGCCGGGTTGACGGAGGCCGGGTCGGTAGTCGTCGCCACGATCAGCGTCACCATCTTCTTTGTCGTTTTTGTGGCTGCGTTGCAAAGGGGAAAGAAGCTTTGTTTACTATTTTCCCGCGGCTGGCAATGAAGTGGGATATCGCCTTAAAAGTGGTGCCGTCCGCTGGTTTTAAAAGGTGGTGTCGTCCGCTGGTTTTAAAAACGACATCAAGAAAGCACACTGATTAAGGGAATAAGTGTATTTAAATAATTGAAAATGTGTTTAGAGAAAATATTTTTAAGTTCTAAAAGCATTTAAAGTGCATTTTACTAAAAAAAAGTTAATTTTGTATTTCTTGTTGAAAGCATTTTTAAGTATTTTTCCATAATGCATATATGTTTTTAAATTCTAAAAACATTTGAAGTACTTTTTACTAAAAACATTAATTTTCTTCACCAAAAAAAAAACATTAATTTTGTGTTCCTTATTGAAAACACTTCAAGTGTTTTTTCAGAATTAGGAGATGTATTCAATCGGAATTTTAAGGTATTTTAATTCTTTTAATGAATATAAAGGTATTCAATCAGGATTTGAAATGATTTCCTGAAATTCAATGTGTATATTTCAAGATTGTTTATTAAAATCCTTAAAAATCTGATATATTCAATTAAAATTTTAAATAAATTTATAACATTCTAAATGTATTTAATTAGAATTTGATTTTCAAGAATTTGAAAAAAAGTTGAGGAGTTAAAGGAAATTTGAGAAATTCACTACTGTATTTTAAGCATCTATATCACATCTTCTCATGAAATTTCGAGAAAATTGAACCAAAATTTTACATAAAATCTCTAAAAATCAATTAAACTACTTAAAAATTTTACATGAAATTTCTACAAATCAAATTCCTAATTGAATACACATCTCTTAATATGCAATTTTACTAAAATTTAATTTTAAAAATATTTTATCTCAAACCGTCGTTTAATACATTTCCCAAACGGGACAGACGTTGAAGTTGCAGCGCTTATCTCTGGCGACGGCTCTCAAACCCCACCGCCTCCACTCCAGTCAGTCTCTCTCTCTCTCTCTCTCCTGTTTCTCCTGAATTTTTATTTCCAAATAGGCTCTTCGTTAATTTACATTGAGAGAGTAATTGGCTCGCTCACAGTAACAAACACGACGTCGCAGAGCGTACCGAAAATGGCGACGACGATGAGCACTGAATCCTCCTCCATGAAAGACGCCTTCTCCAAACACGCCGATTACCTCAACAATCTCGTAAATCCCTGATTTAATGTCCCCCAATTTGCAGCACTGCGAGCGATTTCAAGGGTTTTACAATGTGAGTTTTTACCTGTATTGTTTGTAGAACGACAAGCGGGAAAGGGTCATAAAAGCAAGTCGCGATATCACCATTAACAGCAAAAAGGTCATCTTTCAGGTCCACAGGTAAGAAAGCTGCCGCCTTTTGCTTCAAAATTTGTTACTGTTTTCTGGGTGTTGGATTTTGGGTTTTTTTTTTTTTTTTTTTTTTTTTAAAATTTTGTTTTATCATCATTGAAATGTTGTTGCTGTGGAATTTGAACTTGAACAGAATCAGTAAACACAACAAAGAGGAAGTTCTGCAGAAAGCCGAAAAGGATTTAGCAGCTGTGACGGATCGGTACATTTCCCGACTGGTTAGAGAGCTGCAGGGGACTGATTTTTGGAAGCTGAGACGAGCATACTCACCTGGGGTGAGTGTGGAACTCTCCTGCTTCTGCTTCTGCTTTCAGTCTTTTGAAATTTCGGGTTTCGGTTATACCTGGTTAATTCACTTATCAATTTATGCTTGGAGTTGTGCAGGTACAAGAATATGTTGAAGCTGCAACCTTTTGTAAATTTTGCAGGACTGGGACTCTTTTAAGTCTTGATGAGATAAATGCCACCTTGCTGCCACTCAGTGATCCGTCTCTTGAGCCGTTGCAGATCAATGTACTCGACTATCTTCTCGGGGTATTTTCTTCAACTTCGCTGTTACATTCTTTTTGTGAAGAAGGAAACTATTGGCCAGTTGATTAGTTGAATAAGGTTTTGGGATTAAGCGGACTGAATTCATTGTGTTAGTTTAACACAGGGACACACACATGTTGACATGTATACATACATATATTGGGAAGTGATGTTTTTATGCACCTATTAGATTTAACAAGAGCTTTCGTATAAACACTTGCTACATCCATTTCTCAACGACATATATCCATAGGCAGAAAAGCGGGTTGAAGGAGATCATGTTACGTATTCGAATGTTGGGAGGGTCTGCTAGGGTCTTCGTACCTACTATGAATAGAGAAAACTTTCCCCATTGTCCTCACTAGCAGCCCAGGTCTTTCCATTCCTAATGTGGATGTTGTGGAATTATCTACTGGTTCTCGTCCACTTACGGTTGACCTCGCCCCCCACTACAGCAGTAGCGCTGGCATGTAATAAGTTTCTAACTAAGGGTTGTTGTACTATAGCTTGCAGACTTGACCGGAGAGCTGATGCGGTTGGCAATTGGTCAAATTTCAGATGGAGAACGTGAATTTGCTGATAAGATATGCAAGTTTGTGCGTGAAATTTACAGGGAACTGACCCTTGTTGTCCCACTTATGGATGATAGCAGTGACATGAAGCTGAAAATGGATACAATGATTCAAAGTGTAATGAAGATAGAAAATGGTATGTTTCGATGACCGAATCTGATAATTATATTTGAGTTCATGCTTTAGCATACTGCTATATAATAAAGATTTGAATATTAGGAATAACTAATAAAATGATAAAACAGGGAAATTTTCTACTTCCAGTTTGTGAATTGGAACAAATTTGGCGTCCTTGAATTCAAGAATAAGTACTTTGAAACTTCAAAAAACATTTCAGAAGTTGTAATCAACCGTAACTAAATTCTGAATTCATATTATGGTCTTAAATCGTGATTCTATCAATTTTGCGTGTATACTAGCATATAGCCCTAACAGCTTCTTAATTCTTCTTTGTAAAAGTTTTATCACTCTTTATTTTTTCTCCCAAAAGAGAGTTTTTAATAACTTGAGATCTTTCTGTAGCTTGCTTTGGTGATCATGTGAGAAGATCAGAGTATATGCCACTACCTGGCTCTGACGATCAAACTTCGTTCTTATTGGCAGTGCCCGATGTTGAAATATGATGCAACTCGTGATCATTACGTTCTCATTCTTACCGCTTAAGTACTTATATTACGTGTGTTCTAATTAACTAAGGAGAAAAGTTCTTGATTTCGACAGGGAAAGGTTAGGATTTCAAGGAGCGTATATGGGCACCTGCATTATTGTTCGGATGTATTGCGGTTCATCATCATTATCTTGTGGTCGCTGCTTGATGAACAATTCCTGCGTATGTTTTCTTAGTAAATCTGTAAGCTTTAAAATTTCTTCTCTTTGTAAATTTATGGGGATTAGATTTGTAGAGCTTGGAGCGAAACCCTTTCACACGAGGTTCACTTGCGATTTATGTGCATGGTTAGTTCGGCGAACCATGAGGGAACACTGATGCAGCTGTCTGACGCAGCTGTTGTACGTACTAAGGCCTTAAATATATAACCATATGGCATAAAACTACGAACATAAGACATGGACACATGTAGCTATGTCAAATGAATGGTGTACCTGACGGACTTTGACCTGTTGCGCCATTTTCGCTACCTACCTGCAAGAAGCCACGATGAGCCGCAGTTTTGTATTGAACTCACTAGAAATATATATTGTCGTTGCATTCATGTGAGTTGAACATATCGATACCTCCTCCGACCAAGTGTCGTTAAATCATGTAATCATGTGCATTTACCTTGCCACTTGAGGAGATGGACTTGTGCTTCTGATGTTGCATGTAATTTTCATCCTTGGCCACTAGGCAAGAATTTACGATTACAATCAATGTCAATTGGACTACTCTTAATGTCACAAGTTGTTGGGTGTTGGGTATGAAAGTACACATAAACAGGAACGCCAAAATGACGGTGTTACAAATCTCTCTTTCTTTGTCATATTACTCTTCTTTGTTTTTCTTCTTCTTGGTGTTTTCTAACTACAACATTCCACCGCAAGAATTAGTGTATTATTTAGATTCCCTATATTTTGATATTGAGAAGCCAATTGAGATCCATTTCGAATTTCTGTGTCCGGAGTCCAATTATTCTAAAACATGGATCACTTAATTTCAATCATACGGCCTTTATTAGTTCATTCCACTAACTCATCTTACAAAATTTCAATCATACGGCCTTTATTAGTTCATTCCACTAACTCATCTTACAAAATTTCAAAAATTTAAACCACCCGAATCTCTATTTCTCTTTTGAACAGCTAGATTTCGGAGTCCTTTAGTCCATTCCACTGACTTGTCTTACAAAATTTCAAAAATTTAAACCGCCTGGATCTCTTTTTCTCTCTTGAACAATTGGATTTCAGAGTCCTTTAGTCCATTTCACTGACTCATCTTACAAAATTTTAAAAATTTAAACCGTCCAGATCTCTTTCTCCCTCTTGAACAGCTGGATTTCGGAGTCCTTGGACTTTAAACATTGAGATCTGGAGAAGATCTCAGTCCTTAAGAAGCAGCCCAAATATGTCGGCTACTTAACCAACATCAACAAAACAAGTACGTGGACGTACGAGCTCATTATTGCATTGGTTTATAATTTAATTGAGTAGTGGGCGAGTCTGGAGCTGGACCCTCTGGTATTGTCTCCGTCTCCATTTCAGTGAGAGTGACCAATCTGAACTTGTGTTTTCTTCACCTAACAAATCGCTCTCTTCTCCTCCATCAGAAGCTCGCATACTCTCCACAATCATCATTCAACGTGACTAATACTAAATTACCAAGACGGTCCTTTATGTTTGTATCCGAATTCACACTCACCGATCTTATTGACTATTAGCTTTAATCTAGCAGTCCAAATCCAGGTGAAAAAGGGCATATCATATTAAATCGCATCCTTGATTTAAGTGATTGAAAGCATTTTCATTTTGGATTAGGAAATGGATATGATCAAGGCCAGCTAATGTCCACTATCACTAGCTGAGGAAGATTTTCATTGATTGACATGATCACGAAGCAATGTATCTGGACAGCCGTGTTGGGACGTATCTGGACATATTCGAGCCATATAAATACAAGCTTCGAATAAGAGAAAAGGATCCTCGATCAAACGCACAGCTTGTTGTTCTATTTTCTCTTCAATTCCTATCCTAGCATAATGAATCCTTAGTTTTGATTATTTTATTTTCATCCAATTTACTTCCCGGATTTGTATTTGAATTCCTTTACATTATGCAATTTATATTACGTATTGCATGTCAATTTCTTATCTTTTATGCAATTTAATATACACACTTCTTTATTCTAAGCATTTCATTTCCTTCTTGTCATTTGTATTCTATTTAATTAAAAGCACCTTTATTTCCTAAGCACTCTTTATTAGTTTAATTTACTTTCTTGCAAGTAGATTAATTTTTAACTCTTTTTACTTTCTCGCTTGACCTTCACCATGACCATAACACATCATTTGATTGTTCGTTTGAAGCCTTGTCTTCGAGGTAGAGAAAGAACCTAAGCCGAGAAGAGGTTCCTTGCTCGACCATTCAATCGTTTGATTAGAAGTCAAATCCAAAGCGCAGACCCAATTCACATTGACGTCTTTTCTATGTCGACCAACGTGTAGCATGCTCACGCATCTGTTTGGGTTTATATTTGACATTGGCTTGGTGATAATGGAGGCTCAAAGACACAAAAGCAAATGAAGACTTGCCCGAGCCCAGTTGATATGCCCAAAGTAAATTGGGTGCCATTTCAGCCACAGCATAAGCCACATGCCTATGATTGAAGTGATGGATGACAGAGGACAACTCACCACCAGCCAAAAAGCACTTTTCCTAGGGCATGACAAGTAAATAGATGATGACTTATTGCCCTCCAAAAGTTATCAACTAAAGGCAAAGCTGGGACAATCAGGCAAAATTGCCTACAAAAGCAAAGAAAGACACCAGAGACAAGGACACTCAACCAATCAATCAAAAGACATACAAACTCTACTCTCAAGCCAGTTCGTACCCAGAAAGCTGAATTTTGTCCATGTCTAGTTTGTTTTAGCTATAGTTCCCTTATAGAAAGCCATCTCTTGTCTAGTTTAAAAGCTCTGCTACCTTCCCTTAGTGTTGTAGTATCGATTCCCTCTAGTAAAACCTACTTACTTGTTACTTTTTCATCCCTTAGAGTATACAAGTAACTTGTAAACATAAAGAGAAGCAGTTGCAACAAGTTAAGCCTTGCCCGACAAGGTTAAATCTGACTTAAGTCTCTTTTGTTTGTACTTATATTTAGTAGATTTGTCGTTTAATGTACTTTCCTTCATGTATTTAAGTCATTTTCAACTGTTTTCTACTTAAGAGTTTCATTTGCATTCGAATCTGGTCAAGTTATTAAGCCTGTTTTCATTAAAGTGAACTTTGATTGAGGAAATGGTTGGAAGGGCCCTGGACTCCCTTCATTTTGGACATACAAAACTATGAATTAAAAGTCCTTGTTTACAAGGCAAGAAAAAAACTTAATGCAGACTTAACCCATTTGTGACAATCCTTTGATAAACAAGAAGTCTAAGTAACTTGTGGCGCAAATAACCAACTTAATTCACTTCCATTCAACAATCTGTTATACAAAGATAACAGTGGCATACTTAGATCTTTGTTAGTTTTGATTGTGAGCCTTAAGGCCTAAACCAAAGGCCCCACAAAAGCACATTTCAAACTAACTACAAACTCGTCATGCAACACACCAAGCAGCAAGTTCTTGCTTGACAGGCAAGAGAAAGCCATCTCCCTGAGGAGTTGTGCGAAGGACCATATCCAAAATCCAGCCTGAACAACATCTAAATAAAGAAGGACAAAAAATCCTCATAGGCCGCCGGTCCGTCCGAAAAGAGAGAAACACCCTAATAATACTTAATACTTAATAATGCATTGCTTGATTTAAAAAACATGCCTTGATGGTCATAGTTACAAACTTACAATCTTATTATTGTTTGTTTTTTATTTTTTTTATCTCATCTTATTTTTTTTTCTTCTTCCATTAAATCGATCGATCATTGACATTTCTATTTTAGGAGTTGGACTTGTGCTTCTCAATATTAATATACTTCTCAAAATACTTGCCCACTATGCCAGAATTTATAATTAATTACAACTAATTTTAATTGGACAACTTTGTAAAGTTGGGCAGCAAATGTTATAGCATTAGCTGTAATATTACTATTAATTAAATAGTTTATGTTTGCTACCAAATCTTTTGGTTGTCAAATTAACTCCCAACCAATAAGAACAAATCCTCTTCCATTTGATAAACTCAAGTAGTACGTTCCACCAAAAGATTAGATGATGCTTTAAATTGCAATTACGATATTTATAGGCCATCAAAATATAAAAAAATCCGTACTTTGGTTTCTATATTTACGTACCATATTTATGTTCCTCATGTTGTCCACTTCAGGGAGAACATTTTCAATGTATCAGGAATATAGCCCGGTAAATCAAGTGTTACAAAATAATTGGTTGAAAGTTTTTTTTTTTTTAGTTATCTAACTAATTGTTTTGTGACATTTAATGTACCGAATCGTATTTCTGATACACTAATAAATCTCTCTTGAGACCAATGCGATTATGGTGATGGTTTTATATACCGATGGAAGAAAACTTTAGGCATTATTAATTGGAGTAAAAATTCATCAAAGAATCCATGCAAACGTGTTATCCATGTTAGAAATTTTCAGTAGTTAAAGATAGTACATATGATTAAGCAGGTCCACTAAACTAATAGTTTGTGATTTAATACGTAATCAAAAGAAATTGGAACGCATGATGAGTTATTTGGTCTTTTTCAAAGGTAACATGTCGATGAGGAGAGTCAGGAGACATATCATGTTATCGTGGACACCATATTTGTTGTTGGTTGCACACTACAGTTGTTAGCAAATTAAATTATGAAACTTAATTAACCATGGTGAGGTGGTTTAGTGGTTGGTTAGAGACGAATATCAGACTCATATTTCACACAGTATACTATGAGTTCAATTCTTAACGCTAGTAAATCACAATATGGTAGTCAAGAAGATGCTGAAATGCCTCTGTTATTCTTCTTGGCTCCTAAAAAGACTGATTGTTGTGACAAAGCGACCTATTGGTCCCCATAACAATAATCGTTCAACTAACAAATCTTACTAGACAACTTATGAGGATCTTACACACACAAAATATGGCTTATTTACAAAGCAAACATTTAAGAGCAATGAATGTTAGTTTAAACATAATTAGTCAGTGAGTTAGGTGGTACCAAATAGTCATATCTACTCACAGATGTAATGCAAGGGAAGGGGACTACGTTTGTTTCTTAGCTGGCTATGGCATATCGGCTATTGTTTTCTTTTGCCACGATATGCATGCATGCGGCATGACGTGCTCTCAAATCCAACTCCTACTGTCTTTCACTACGGGCTATTACTTAATCAAAGTCACTCATCGTTTAGCCAATTGTGGATTTATTGTTGAGTTCGGACAGTTAAGGTTTGAAGGGTTTCTTGATTTTATAATCGAAGTTGTTCAATTTTTCTTATTTGGTAGTTACCTGTCACATATTCATTTAATATCCTGTTCGGCACCTTTTTTGTGTAGTGAAAGGAGTATTCTTAAAGTCAATCACTCACAATTTTTTATGCATCAATTATTAAAATTAGCTCGCTCTTAACATTTATATATTACTAAATTCAATCGTTCATAATTTTTAATTACAAATCTAAACACATGTGAAGATCACATTATATATATTATTT